AGGAGCACATTCCTTGGAAAAATCCTTTCACACACAGGAAAGGATATATTTTACATATCCAGCGTCAGCCAGTGTTTCCCAAACATAGACTTTACTTGGGCGTGTCGCCCAGGTATATTAACAGTTGCCAAAGTATATTTGGCGCCCATTTCAGCATTTTTTTATTTTTATTTTTTTATCCATGCGAGAGAACGGCGCCATTTGTGTTGGTAAAGTAATGCTGTGTTCCATTTGTCTCGGAAGTCGGCAGTTGAAGGTAGGAAAGACAACAGACTGTATAAAATGATGGACGTAGCTATCATGACGTTTGTGCACGGCTTTTTTGAAGCGTTTAATTACGCATTTTGGCCATCGCCAGGGGCAACGATATTTGGGCAAGGGGGTGGAGCTGTGAATGAGCAGGGGTGGATCTGACTCACATACTGTAGCAACGCCTTGCAGACAGTCTGTCACTCAAAGCGGCCACGCCTTTAAATATGCATAACTTTAAGCTTTAATAAAACATGATTTATATAAAAATTCAGCCCTGTACAGTTGTCATGATTGTTGAATTAGCTTTGGAGACCAAAACCTTTTTCTGTACCAGGCAGTAAACATTATATCAGCTGTAAAGTTGGCCATTTTAACATCGGTGTCTGTGGGGATTGACTGGCTTCTGAAGCCAGCCTCGAGTGGACATTAGAAGAACTGCAGTTTTTGGCACTTTCACATTGGCTTCATTTTTTAAGCCCTGAAGGCTGCTGCTTGGGAATGTCGGCACACTTGAGTTGACTGTGTTCCAGTACAAGTCAGAAAACCAAAATTTTAGCAATACTAGTTCTAGCCAGGTTAGCAATTGCTCGTGATGCTAGTTAATAACAACGCATTACGCTGTATTCTGGGCATACAAACACTGTAGCAACATGTCCACAGATATGCAGTAGATTGTATTGTGTGTGGGACCGATTTGATGCGACATAAATGAGACAGACGGTCTAATAAACAGTACATTACTACACTTTCCTCGACTGTTGATGCAGAGAGCAGCCATCTTGGACTTTGAGGCTGGGGTTGGTGAGGTTCTTGCAAATTTCTTAGTTCTGGGGCGCTTCAGTTAAAATTTCTAACAGAGAACTTGGAAATTCCAACTGTCCATTGCAAATGGAACATATTATATCTTATATCCCGTACTTGTTCGTTCTGCTACTCTGGCTGAGGCTGAAGGTCACAATCTGCAGCGATAGTTTGAGCATCTGGTCTATTTTTGCCGTAAGCAAACCTGGCAAAAAAACACACAGATAATCTACTACAAACCATGCATGAGACATATAATATATGATATAATTGATCTGATTCAGGTAAATTATAAAATATGCAACCAACCCTTTAGATTTACCTGCCCCGGTCCCCGCTGTTCTCCTGGAGTTTCAGTTCCCCTGATTTTTACCCCACACATGATGAAATTTCAAAATCTGCCCAGTAACAATATTTATTACAAACAGCCTAATATCGCTTATGCTTGTTACTGTATTTTTTGAATTACGTTGCCTAACTATTCCACATATTCATCATTTGTATCTAAACAGAGTGAGAGAGATGAGCTTACACACAGAGACAGACAGACAGAGATTATAGAGTAGCTCTACATGTAATTAGAAAAAAAGCACAATGATGTCATGTAGGCCAATGTAAAATTCATAGATATACTTAATACATCAAAATATTGTGTTAAAGGTCAAACATATTTGTTGTTTGTCACATGTAGTAGACCATTTTTGTGCCAGCACATAATGCTGGAAAATGGCCCTTTTTACCAGCTACCACCAAACGTATATTTCAGACCCTGAAACACTGGAATCACTATTTTGTTTAGAATAAAAACAAGAAGAACTGTGTAATTAGCCCAAACTATAATAGGTATGATGGCTGAGAAGAAGATTTTTAGTGAGCTGAGGGGAAAAAATAACAAACTTTTTCCCTCACAACTAAATTTGGCCCGCAAAAAAAACAAAACAACCATGCAAAATGTCAAAGTAGCCCTTAAAGGCAGCACACTGCTGACAACACACCCTCCATTATTTGCAGACCAACAGACAACTGTGCAGGGGTTCACACCATGTTGTGCAAGCCATCTCTTTCTTCATGCAGTTTAAGACATTAAGAAGGCGTGAAAATGGCAGCAAGCTAAGCCTTGGGCGAAGAGCAAATAGCATTAGCCACCAAGCACACATTGCATTCTGCTCATTCCAATATCCATCTGCGCCTGCAGCTATGCTAGCTAACTGCTATCAGACTGGCTTATTCACAGACATTTTCCACAGCTCGAGTGCTTTTTGGAGAAAAATTCAATCTTTGGTAATAAGTGAATTGGAGATGGAGCATGAGCACAAACTAAAAAGCAAATCCAAATCCATGTTGGGTTTATCTAACAATGTATTTCATGGCCGTATTCCAAATTTTTATGAGAATAGGTTATGAATGATTACCAGAAAAATGATTATATGCTTTGCATGATGTTTCAATAACATATCCATCATACGTGGCCATAGACAGTGACAGCAGGGTTGGAATTGGATGGAGGGATGGCTCGAAAGCAGAGGAGAGGGAGTGATTTATTGACTTAGAATAAAAAAAGGAAAAAAGGATTCAGCTAAACCATCTATCCACCCAGGACTCACTCACTCTCTCTCTCTCTCTCTCTCACTCTCTCTCTCTCTCTCTCTCACACACACACACTCACACACACACACACACACACACACACACACACACACACCAGAGCCACACAAGTGATGGCATTGCCCCCAAAGAAAATAGAGTTGTGTGTACCATCCAATTATCTGTCAGGGGTGAATAATGGCCCCAATAATATATTCACATTGCCATTGCCGATCAATTTTTAATCAAGCTGAGAAATATGGAGGAAGTGAAGCTAAAATGACCCACCAGGAACTCTCCCATAATGCCTCGGCAGAGGAGTCCCTAATTTTGCTCCAATCAAATTACCTACTCCCCAGACCCCTCCCCAACCCCTTCAGCTCCCCCCCAACCTCCCATCATCCTCAGAGCGATAATGGTGCCTCCCAGTGTGGGGCACACTAATAACCACAACTCTCCTGTTCTTTTATAAGGGCAGAGGTCAGGGGGCAGTGACCTTATTAAAGACATTTTCACTGATGATAAAGAGATTAGCCGTTACTAACATGTATATAGTGGCAGAAAATGAGAAAACAGAACCACAGACAGGCTTTTTTGTTCCTTTTTTATGTCTAAAACATTTGTTTTCATTTGTCTTTAAATAGTTCTGAATGGGATGGGAATACAATACTACTTAAATGAAGGGGGTCTTATTTTGACCTACATTTAGAGTGGTTTTATTTTATTTTTTGGCCACTAGGGGGCAGTGCAACAAACTGTAAACACAACATGGGTTTCCATCCAAATGTAGCACAAATTTTAATAGAAAGAAAATTGCCAAAAGAAAATGTGAATGTATGTGCTTTCCCATCCACTACTGTTGTGCAAATATTGGGAGTTGATTCGAGGTAAGTAGAAGGTGACGCTGATTCTCCAATCAGGGCCACTGCAGAAGAGGGCGCAATGAGATGACGTAATTAAAAGAGCACCAGTCAAACCTCAAACGAGGAAATACAATGGATGTATAATATGGTAAAACACACTGGACAATGGAAATATAGTGTTTGAAACAACTAACATCACAGCTGTGTGCTGTTGGAAGAGCTGTTAAAAGCCTGCAGAGACGACAGACAGAGCTCGCAGAAGGCAATGTAATGATGGTACGCATTTCCCTTCTATCAATACACCATCTTTTCCACCTCCTCCAAGTGTCATAACTTTTTGAGAAACTTTAGAGATTTTTTTCTCCACTGAGGATTTTATTTGCAAATTGGAAATACACATGGAAACAGGTGGGTGGAAATGCACCTGTCAACATATTATCATCTAATGAAGCTGATAAAGCGAATCTTTTAGCCAACTGTTGCTTCCGTATCCATCTGGTAGATATGGAGCGACATTAATAGTTATTTGTCATCATGTTTATTATTTTTTATTGCCTTTATTTAACCAGGTTGGTCCCGTTGAGACACAATGATCTCTTTTTCAAGGGAAGCCTGGCCAAGACAGCAGCATAGAAAAGTTGCAACAATTATAAGACACACAGAAATCACACAGCAACAGAGATAAAATACATTACAGAATAGAAGCAACAGGACTAAAACTCCGGATTTCTGGCCATGTGGGGGGTGTAGATCCAATAATCACTCTCTATTTTAGCTCTGTTTGGTGTCCGTCAACTCCAGAGTGAAATATCTGACTCTTTAGCTGCACAATATCCCACTGTGTTCACCAACAAGTCGCTAACTGTTTGCGCCAAGTAAGTAGCATACAGTATACTTGTAGAGCTTTTTACACTGAAAATAGCTGAGAGTACACTAACGGGAGCAGCAAGTGTGAAACAATAAAGTTGCAAGCCATGAAACCAAAACAACAAGATGAAACTTGGTTCGTCACTATGAGTAACCCTTTCTATATTATACCAACAAATACCATATTTTGGGTTGTATAACGCTTCAAAATCAAGCTCTTTAGTTCTTCTGGTGACATGTTTCATGTAAAATTATAAAAATCTTTACTAAAATAAAAATATCTATGTTATGTAAGACAGAAATTCAAGCAGGCTTAATGTAAGCCAGCCCACTGTTCACTATAGTACACTAGTTAAAGCACATGGATGCATAAAACATACACACATATGGATGCATAAACCATATGCAGATAATCCATGGTGTGCTGGACAAACACACTTTTCTCACAGTAATTTCATGCCGCCAAACCCAAAGCTCATAGTAACTCATTTATAAACACATTACTCATACGTAGAATCCACATGCATATGTCAACAAACGTACACAAACACAATCGACGTCTTGTGTGTGCACTCTGTGAGTAAATTCAGCCCCTATAGAGCCGACCCCAGATGCCTGAGATGGGTCACGTACCTCTACGCAGTGCTGGGGCAATCTGCAATGAAAGCTTTCCCATTTGTAATAAACTGCAGCCTCTCAGAAGAGCAATCCTAGGGAGAATCCACCGTACTCTCTCCTCACTATAACAACAGCGTCTGTAAAACAAATGAGCGGGGAGGTAATTGCAGACAAACAAAAATTACATTTCCAATAAAGGTTCTTGTCTCTTTGGGCTCCCAGAAGCCCCCAGCCCTCCTCAACTGTTTAACAGCCTTAATATACCCTCTCATCAGCCTTCCTGTTGAGAAGCCGCCTGAGAGAGGTTATCAGAGCACAAACAGAGCTCATCTAATGTGAACGGGTTGAGGGTTTAGTGGTTGAAGTGTTTTAGGCAATTAAAAGGGGAAAGTGATGGTGGGATAGATGGATGAGAGCATTAGACAAAACACTTAAAGTTTACATGACCCATACTTCATACTTGAAGGCGTTCACGGCACTGTGGTGAAAGTCTCATAATAAGAAGTGCTTATGGGAAGATGAGGAATGCAAAATGTTATTACAAACAGCCTGAAAACAGGCACAGAACCAAAGACATGGTTTTCAGATTATTAAGAAAGAAACTTGCCAAAAAGGACGAATACTTAATTGAATCAGCATTCACATGTTTGATGTAGTTGTTTAAAGATTTTAGAGGTTTTTTTCAAGAGTCAGTGTAATCCATTACTTATTTTTTTTTAGCAGCGATGATGGACAGGAATAATGATAGAATGCAAGAGTATAAAGCAGGTGTTGAACTTTCAATCTCTAATTTGCTCTAAAAGCTGAATGTGCCATGTGCTGCATGTTAACACCTTTGAATAATGACCACATCAATATGACAAGTAGGTATTATCATAAACAAACAGGTAATCTAGGAAAAGATCAACAACCTCGATGATGCATTTTACGTTGCGTGTCATTTTTTTTTTTTTTCCCCGTTAAAGGGTTTTTTTTGGGGGGGAGTTTTTCTTTATCCGTTGCGAGGGTCATAAGGACAGAGGGATGTCGTATGCTGTAAAGCCCTGTGAGGCAAATTGTGATTTGTGATATTGGGCTTTATAAATAAAATTGAATTGAATTGAATTAAATCTGGGCAGATTTTGCAGTACAGCACAAAACAGGAAGAGGGCGTTGTTCTTTAAGCATTTTTTAGAGTTTCTAACAACAGCAGACGATGGAAGGAATAAAAACGGCAATGGAAAAATGACTTCAGACATAAAAGGCCAAAAAAAAAAAAAAAAAATACTAACTTCGAAGTAACATAATCTGCACAACAACGATTAAAGGCTGATAAAAAGTTGGGCCATTAAGGTTCCCAGTGCGTCACAGTGTGTTCATATTTCTACTAGATAGTTTCAACATATTGCTCTCTGAGTTTGGCGGTAGTTGGTAGGTTGACATGATTTTATTTATTAGCTAATTATTTCGCCCTCGTTTTGACTGATACAAGTGCACTTTGACGTTTGTTGCTCCTTTAGTTGTCTAATGTTGCTTTGAAACGTACATATAGAAGTTCCAACTGTATGACCTCTTTTGGCATTTAAATCAATTTCTCACATTTGTGTTATATATGTGTTTGTAGTCAATTGGAAAAGCAGCAAATCCTGATATTTGAGAAGCTGAGACTTCAAACTGTAAATGTTTGGCTCTTAGGCTTGATAAAAAAAACTTGGACTACACAATTCATCAACTAATCGCTCCAGCATTAGTTTTGGGGAAACAGAGTGCTGCAGCCAGCAGCAGTAAAACAGGCTGCAAACCAGTCAGGACATGTTCGCACCGTTAATTTACGTCCAATAACAGAGCTTGATTTTGCAAATGAAAATAGCTGATTGTTATTTTAATTGTCTAACAACTTATGGAAAGGATCCCTACAAAGATTGACCTTATTGTTAAGGAGCATAATCAGTTTTGTTTAACTGGAAACAGCCCTGAACTCGCCTTTGCCAAACCCACCAGAGTCCATTTAAATAAACAGTAATTTTAGCATGTATAGAGCCAGCATATTTTCATATCTAACTGGGAGAATTAAGGGTTTATTTTAACCAAACCAAAGTTGGTGATTGTTGGAACAGTGGAAAGATGAACCAAGACAGTTTTGCTGAGTTTTATTTTTTTCAGTCGACTTTGAATAAAAGTTGTTTTACAATGATAAATTACTGTTTGTTGTAAATGGAGTCTAGTGGGATTGGTGATAGCAAATTCAGGGCTGTTTCTGTTTAAAGAAAAAGGATCTTACTCTCTGACGAAAAGAAATAGTTTTCATAAGTTGTCAGACACTAAAAATAATCATCAGAATATGACAGTGGCAAAACAAGCACTTTTAGTGGACGTACACTGATGGTGCAAACAAGCCCCAAGTAGTTATATTGCAGCCTGCAGCGTTCTCGCTTAATACTCATTGTTGTGCCCATTACTCACACAAATAACAAATTTAGCCTTTAAATTCCATGTATGTTTGCATACATACACAAAATCTAATGCATTCACTTCTGCACACATTTGTGCACTGTCACACTCAACCACAGAGAGACAAACACACAAGCCAACTAGTTCCTGACACACACACACACTCTCACATAGTAAGAATTCCACTGAGTGCAGCAGCAGTCATCTCCTCCCTGCAGCAGTGAGATCAAATCAGTCTGTTTATCTGATGGTGAACCTGACATTAGGCCAAACTAAAGGTCCCTGCTCGGCTTCCTCTTATCAAGCCTTGCAAACAGTGAACTCTATGGCCCAGTCCCTCACAAGGGGAAATTGATTACAGCCTCGGGCCAAAACAGCAGCAAGTCCACAGCTCTGTTCATTCCATTATGAGTCCCGGAGCCGAGCGGGCCAAGGTGGCTATTAGCTACAGGTTCTGGATCAGATCCTCAGATATTATTTGATCTCGTAACAGTGATGGGTTGAAGAGGAGGTGTAGGTAATGTGAGCTTAGATGCAGGGTTAAGGGTTCATATGACCTCAGTGGTGACTAAACAGCCGCGGTCAAAGCTTTTAACGAGAGGTCTCAGGAGTTCATATCGGTTTGACATATTTTATTTAAAATGGATGTATTGATTGTAGTGAATGTGGCAGACCACAGCATGCACGCTCTACGACATGACATTTTAAATAGGTTGTGTGTCTGTGTTCATGGGCCTACAGTATATGTGTTTGTGCACACATCTGCATTGTTTACCTCTGTTTTAATATTCTGTTTAAATTTATGTGCGAGATAGATGGAAGAGGGAAACTAACAGAGCGAGAAAGTGTGTGATGGTGTGAGAGAGACGAAGAGCTAATAGTTTTAGGGCATTCCTGTCAGTGCTGCTGTGTGATTGCAGGTCCTGTGTGGCTTCCTGCAAACTTTAACGCTTAGACGGGTTTGATGTAAACACTCAGAGGAGACAAAGATGGGAAAGTCCCTGAGATATTTAACTGACTAATTCCTCCACCGGTTTTTCTTTCTCTTTGTTCATTTCTTTCTTTGCTTTGCCTCAATCATTCCACTGTGGCGGAAGAATCTGGGAATCCGGGACATGCAAAGCAAACATGCCCTTTTACTTCATCATCAAAAAATAAAAGGAAAAAGTGTGAGTATGTGTGCTACAGACATGCAGGCATGCACACACACACACACACACACACACACACACACACACACACACACACACACACACACCTCCACCTCACAAACAAACACACCTTTTTGCTAAAACTTTGCTTGAGGCATTTTATTTCTCCAATTAGACTTGTCAAGAGCCTGACAAGTCTCAACTTTGTTCGCTCCACCAGACAGGAAATTAAAAATTGTATTCAGTTGTCTTCCAACTCAACCAAAAGCAGAACTGCTGTTTGGCACAGAAACATACACACTTTTTCATCATAATTCATACTGTAAAATTTAATTGTGCATTTCTATTTCATTGCTGACTTTTGCAGTTTAGGAAAGCCTTCAACCTTCCAAACATAAATCATCTTCTTATTTAATTTTGTACAATTTGTTCAAGGTTCATGTGCCAAATGAGTGAGGTTTGCGACTGTATATAGGCAATACAGCAAGTACCATAACTTACAGTATTCAAAAGTACATTTTATTGTTATAACCCACTGGTTCTACAACTTTTAACACTGTGTACCAACTCAGAAAATATAAGGCTCTCCAAGCACCACTATGACCAATATTAAAATACACTTGCGTAGTCCTGCCCTATTCAGCTATGGAGAGTTCACACAGGAGGCAGGTGTATTCCTAATTGTTGACTGCTGTCAGCCATGTTGTACAAAGAGGTAACACTTGAACTGACACCTAAACTCTTCCACACAACTGTCATACACCACAGGGGCCAGCTACTCATTAGGTGCTGTGGAGACTTCACTGGCGCTGCTTAGGTGGCCACGAGCACTTGCGCTTGGTTGAGTTTCAGCTCAGTTTCAACAGCACTGCTTGAAATATTCTCCTCCTGATCATTTCTCCACCCAGCAGTTCCTGTTTGAAGCCACATTTTTATCTCCTCTTACCATCTTGCCATCCGAGTATTGCTAGTAACTATTGCGGCCGTATGCACATGCTACGTTTATGAACATGACATTGTGGCAGGCTGATATCAAAACAAAAATGTTACAGTGAAGGCAAAGCTTATTTTTAATGACATGTCGGGGATCTCATTGTTTAAATATTTTTGTTTGACAGCATTCTGCATATTTAAATAAATTCATTGATTTAAAAAAAAGAGATTACAGAGATTCCCCTGCATACCACTAGAGGGAGCTCAGGTACCGCCAGTGGCACACGTTTCATAGTTTGGGAACCATGCTGTAATTCATCTAATACTATAACTGATCTGCAACTTCTTTGACACATTTAGGCCTGATTTTGTTTTTAAGAATAGATTTGTTCGAAGAGAGAGATTCGCACATGCAACCGTGTCAGATGCAGGCGCGTTGGAAAATATCACTTAGTCTCTCAACAGGAAATCCCGCACACTGCTCTTGCTCTGCTTCACAATCTATTAGTAACACTAACGTATTGTTCCTACTGGACCTTCGTCAAGAGTGTCCAACTACCCTGAACACTCCTGACAAAGGTCCAGTAGGAATGAAACAGTAGTGTTACTAATACATTTTTAAG